CTGTCGCCCGTACTATCGCCCGTACTCCTGTTAGTACCACTGGCCGTACTGCTGCCCGTACTACCGTCCGTATCACTTCCCGTACTGCCGCCCGTACTGCCGCCCGTACCATTGCCCCTACTGTCGCCCATCCTGCCGCCCGTGTTGCCGCCCGTACTGCTACCCGTACTGCCGCTCTTACTGCTGCCCTCACTACTGCCAGTAGTTACGCTGGTCCCTCCTCCTGTATTCCTCATTATGTCGACGTAGCAGAGCAGAAGCAGCGGCAGGTTCAGCAGCAGCACCCACAGCAACATCAGCAGTGGGTCCCTCAGTAGCAGTGGGGTCCTGCCCGACCCTGTCCATACGTGCTGCTGACCGGTTCGCACCTTGGTCAGGCCTGCGGGCGTGCTCACTCCGCTGACTGGTGCTTTGGCCGCCTCACCGACCTCTACTACCAGCATTTCGCCTTCGACGCACCCACCTCGCACTGGGCTTCACTGCTCCGCCGTCGCTAAGTACGCTGAGACCCTTGCGAAGAAGTTCAGGATCGCTCCCATCACCTCTCCACTTCGTTCCGCACTCCTCCGCTCGGACACACTTCCAACACTGTACCCCTCTCCACGGCCCAGTTGCCTGCTATTCGCCGCCGGCACGTGCCGCCCGGACCTTTCCTATATCGCAAGGGAGAATATGGCAGATATACGGAGAGCACTGCAATACTTTATCTATAGACCTGACGTCGGGCTAACCTATACGGCCAACACTACCGCCATTGACCGGCTCAAAGACTACGTTGACGCAGATTATGCAGTGGATTTATTTTTAGCCTCGAACCTGCTAGAGTCATCTATTGGAACTCACAGAAGTAGGAACTCAACGCCCTCCTTTCAGCCGAAGCCGAATTCATCGCCGCAAAAGCAGCTGGTCGCAATGGACTCTACCTGCAAGAGTTTCTCAAGGAAGCAAAAGTAACAATGATCAGGTCATTTAAGTTATGAAGCGACAACCAGATTGCGATCAAGATCGCCAACAAACCCGACTTCGTGACCGCATGAAACATATTGCACCCCGTTACTGTTTCAGGAAGGACGAGATCGACAACGGCAATGTGGACCACACCTACTGTCCAACTGGCAAGATGGCATCCAACTTTCCGACAAAGAAATTGCCAAGTTCAAAGTTTCAATATTGTGTTGACCTGTGCGGACTAATCAAGATGAACCACACGCCATACCTTCAGGAATGAAGGGGAGTGTTGGAACAACAGAACGATTATTTTAGCATTCCCAATCGTTGTAGTGCACTATCTCATACAGAGAATGCGCACTAGCTATTATCGCGTTACACGCATATAGAGCACGCGATAGTATTGGGGACGGAAAGTCAACAGTCGGTAGTTAACTGCACCTACTGTTGACCGCCAAGACCGGAGATTAAGCACTACACCTTGTAACCGCGGGCATCAGAATAGTCACAGATATTGCACTGATACCTGCACTACAGTTAGAGTACATTGCTAGCTATGACATATTTCAGTACAATGTTTTCATCATCTCGTCCCATACGACTCATCGTCGGATATTGCCCTCTAAGTATTTCGGCAAGTATGGAGCTTTTAGTAGAGCCAACATTTGAGCACACAAAGTTCCTACGGGTACATTCCTACGATGGCGTGTCTTGAAATTATGCATTTGAATTGTTTCTAATGCTTATACACTATCGTGTAAATTGAGGGTTTCATCGAGTGACCATTCGTGATAGAAATGCGGGGCAACGAGTAACTATCCGTGATAGTGCTATGCTCATCCGTGATAGATTCGATAGATTCTGTGACCGTTCGCGATAGACGAATGACCATCCATGATAACGAGCCCATGTTTATGACCATTTGTATAATAACCCCGGTTTTCTATGCAAATGCAAAACACAGAACGCTACCCAATAATCTGGGAACTGTAGTTGTGGCCTGTATGCTATCAGTCCCAACACAAATTGCCCTACTGTACTTATTAACCGCACACTTACAGACGAGCAAAGTGCAGTTTCCAAAATGGGGGTGAAAGGGACCGCAAGTGGAAGGGGGTTGACCCAGGATATTGACAGGCGAAAGGTTTGTCTTGTTGAGGGACTCCAGTTTTTTCAACCAATAGGAGCCTCATTACTCGCATTCCCTCTTTCTTTTCTGACCTGATCAGGTGCTTCTGATGGTCCAGCATCTGATGTCCCAAGCGTTATTTTTTCCTTGTTCATATGTATCATCATCGGATTTAGCTGATTTTGCCCTTCTACGTGGCAGGGGAAGAGCAAAAGAGTGCACAATCCCCAAAATTGGCCAACCTCAAGGTGGACCTTGGGGTACAGTATCCCTATTTCTCCAAGAAATTTTGGCGTTTAGATTATTGGGTTAACCCGCACCCTAGACTGCCGCTTCGTATACACCAGGGAGGAAGCTGCCGTGGTCGGACGGCAAAAGGCAGTTTCGGGTCAATCGAGCATGCCTGCTGTGATTGACCGATATTTCATTTCAGCCAATCATAAATACGGAAACTGGCGGCATGTGACCTTCGTGCCATGTGAGAAACGTGAGGTTGGAAAGCGGCAGAGCCAGCCAGCCAGCCAACAAGCCAACCAGCAACCAATCGCATTCAAACAGAGAGACTTCGTAGCGCAAGGTCTGGACTGTAGTGGTTGCATGGGGGGATATCATGCCAGTCTGGATTGTCGGTTGACGGATATACGTCCGTAATGCCCTGAATTTTAGGGAATAAGTCAGAATACCCTCCTCTGTTTTAGTTTTGGGGGCCGCCCATGCCGAGTCAGGGCTTCGCTGGGGCCTTCTCCGACGTGTACCTTCGGTTGGCCAGGCCCCCCGCTTCCCCAATCCCCCCCGACTCCTCCACCACTTAAATTCCACTTGTCCCCCACCCCCGTTCACCTCCTTCCATATGTCCCAGTTTTGTCCCCTGCCGTGCTGTTTATGGTCCCCCCCTCAGCGCTGGGGCGTCTGGAGTTGTTTCCACGCAGAAACATATCACTCTTAGTGTTTTGAGCTCAAATAATAACTCAAAGTGATATTACACCAGGCTCGTCATTGCGGATACTCCGTGCAAGGTGCGCTCTAGGGTTCCAGCGCAACGTGAGCTAAGGTGGGAGTATGATATTTCTGAAGGGGAATTTGGAGTGCCTTACTTAGCTGTGGTTACAGAGTGTTTGTGAGGCAACTTGACGTCAGTTATCTATTGTGTGCAGGGTAGCCATTTACAAATTTTGTACCGCCCAGTTACGACTGCAGTGGCGGCTTGTAGCACTAAATTTCGAAAATAAGTTATGTACCGCGAAAAGTACAAGAATTTTCACAGCCCTGATTTCAAGTGATGTATTTCACACTGGCCCGTGCTCGTTCAGGGCTCGTTTGGGGCCGCTGCCCGTGAGAATCAGGGAAACTTCTCAAGCAGCCGTTTGGGTTGCACACCAATCGACAGCCCTGCCAGTGAGCTTACTGCATATGTTCTATACAGTAGTGTAAAGCACAGAACAAAACATGCATTTGGGGAAGCTCCGTACACCCGATGCTCTTCCAGGGGCCCAACTTGTTTGGCCGGCATCACTGAGGAATGCGGTTTTCAAGGGGGAAATGGGCCACTCGGGTTGGCAGTTGTAACGGTATCAATCAAGAATGAGTAGCTACGCTTGTTTGTTCCACGAAAGTTTCGTAACCTTTCTGCAAGTCTACAGGGCACAGTAGTGAGGTCGTAACAGTTCACAAATCGGGGGCTTGTAACGATTGGGCCGTCGCCCGTTAAACCCGACCAGTTGGAGTGTCTGGTGTATTTGTGAGTGAAAAGGGTGGGCGATTTCGCAGGCATCATTTGTACAACCTGCCGAACCCAACCCAACTCAACCCAACCATCCTAACCCAGCCCAACCCAACCCAAACCCTGAAGCAGGCCATCTCTACAAAATTACATGCTTCCTACTCCAGTGTGATCTGTCTGCGGATGCTCAGTAGTTGCCAAAGTATCCGTGCGGCAATTGCCACCCACTCAAACTCTCGAAACTGGGTTATCATTTGAGCGTCCCAACATTACATGATGCTACACTATTGGCAGGAATTTCAGAACTAGTAGTTTTTATTTTCTGAAGCAATGCGAACTTCGATGGATACTAGTAGTAGTACTAGTAGTAACAACAGTCCTCGTGGTATTCTCGGAGACGGCTTCCCGTCAGGTTTTAGATTCCGGCCGACGGACGAGGAGCTGCTGTGCTACTACCTCAGGCGGCGCGTGGACGGCCTTCCCATCGCATGGAATGCGATTGGCGACGTTGATATGTACAAGTTCGAGCCTTGGGAACTACCAGGTACTGCCCTCCATCAGATTTTTTAGTGTTTCATCTCTACTTCAGACCCCACAACACCCCCCAAGCCCTCTTCCCCTCCCACCTCCCTACCATTCGGAATGATGCACCTCTACTGAAATAGTCATGACTGATTCATTCCTCTTAGAGTGGGTACGGTGGAAATTACACCCCCCCCCCTGTGTGGGTACTCCTTGTCATTTTCACCTGCCACTTGTCCATCTGAAGTACCACACTCCCTTTCATCTCTCTCCCCTAAACCCTGGGACCAATCCCCACTGCACCTGTCAGCAATTCGTTATTTTTAAAGTGCCCCAGGATGCTTTCTGGTGCAGTCATCTCATCAAAACAGGGGGGGGGGGCCTGACCCATAAGTAACAGCCAGAGCACCAAACCCTAGCGACGTCAGCTGGTTATCTTGACCCCAGGAAAACTCCATCCCCTCTTCCAAACTCCCCCCCTCAACCCAATATCAGCCAGAGAATATCAAGCCCCACAGCGCAGACAAAAACCGGCTCGCTTTGCTAGACCTCATTTTGCTTTGAGAGCACTCAAGCACCCCTTTCCCCATGCTCATCTAATCCTCAACTCCATCCACAGCCTTACTCCAAACATACCCAATCGTTGGAAACAACTGGACCTTCTTTGCATCCCCTGGCCTCATGTTCCCTCCTCCCCATCGCATCATTCCCTCTCCTCCACTCCCACCCTGCCCTACTCATGGGGACGAGTGGTTTCCTTCTTGCTTCACCACTCACTCCTCTTCTGCTCTCCTCTCTCCCTCGGCACCACTCCCAACCAGAGCAACATGCCCAATTTCTGGAGACGGCGAGTGGTTCGTTGTCACATCCGCCCGCGACCTCAACCAATCCCCTTCCTCTCTCTTCTCTCACGCTTTCACCTTTCCCTCTCCTCCAATCGCAGCCAAAGCAGCGTGCCCTATTCCTGGTGATGGCGAGTGGTTCTTTTTCACATCCCGCGATCTCAAGTACCCATCAGGGTCCCGGTCCAACCGAGCCACAACTGCTGGGTACTGGAAGGCCACTGGAAAGGACAGGCCAGTGCACATGCGGCTACCAGGCAGCACCGGTGGCAATGAAGGGAAAGGGGAGCAGACAGTCAGAGCGGGAATAAAAAAGACTCATGTCTTCTACATGTGAGTTTTTTTTCTGCAGTATCTTGATTTCCGCTTCTCAGACATCAGCAATCCCGCTGTCTTTATGTAGGTCTCAGGTGTTCGGGTTGTTTGTTTGAGTCTTGGTCTGCTGGTTGTTGTTATGTTCGTCGTTGGATTGCTTGTGCAGGCTTGAATATAATTGTTCGGGTCTTTGGACTCTGTTTGAGTGGCGTGACTTACTCTTCATATTGTGTCTTCTGAAACCTTGTTATCGTTTTGCCGGTGTGGGGAACAGGGGGCGAGCGCCAGGAGGGGACAAGACCGACTGGGTCATGCACGAGTACCGGCTGGCAGAGGATTCGCCCGAAGCTGGACCGGCTGCTACAGCCGTGGCACGCGCTACAGCTGCAGCAAGCGAATCAAACCCAGCAGCAGCTGCTACTCATAGCACCGCACCTGGTGTGGGTGCAGCTGGTGGCACTGCCATAGGCCGGACCGGCAGCAGAACAAACGAAGCGACACACCTAGCCACTGGTGCAGGTGGTGATGTAGTTGGTGGATTGGGCAGGAGCAGTAGCAGCAGCCCCAAAGCTATCGGTCCAAAGACTGAACCCGGCAGTGATCGAAGGATCGGCATGACGTCGTGGGTGGTTGTGCGGGTGCTCAAGCGAAGCTCCCTGACAGCGGAGGAGGAAGCGATGGTGGCAAAGCAAGCTGTGGTAGCACAAGCGATGGTGTCACGGCATGAGATGGTAGAGCAGCAGACGATGGTGATGCGGCAACTGTGTGGGGCTTCTTCACCAAAAGGAAAATCAGAGAGGGACGAAGAGGCACCAGTGGCAGGGTACCCTGCGGGTTTATCAGTGCATGGCGTGCACTTTAGAGGTGTTTCACCCTCACTAGATTCTCCCAGGAGTAACTTCCCAAATTCCCTCATTAGCAGCCTGTCCCCCAACTCCTCTTGCTGCGCAATGCCCGTGGATGTGCAGAGCCGCGTTGTGGCAAACTGAGAATCAGCTGTAGGTGCGGAGGAGGAAGACGCATCAATAGTGGCAAAGCTGGCAAGAACAGGAGCAGCAGAGGGTGCAGCAGTCGAAGCAGTACCAATGGAGGTAGAAGGAACAGGAGCAGCAGTGGGAGCCCACAAGCAAAGCAGCAGCTCAGCAGACAAGCAGCAGAAAAGCAGCAGACAAGCAGGGGTGTTCATGAAGGGCCCACTCTGCCCGGAGAACTTGCCATCTTTCAAGCACTATCTGTTTGAAATAAAGCCGCCTGGAAGCGGCAGGGGTGATGGTGGTGTGGACGGCGGGCGTGGAATGGGAGAGCAGCATGACATGGGAGAGCAGCAGCAAACAGAAGAGGAGCAGCAGATGCGAAAGGAGCAGAAGAAGAGGGAAATGGCGGAAAAACTGGACTGGAGGGTGGAACTGGACAGTACAAAAGAGGACGGGCAGAAGGAGCAGGAGAAGGGTGACCGGGAGCAGGTAAGTTGGCACATGGAACATAAGCAAACGGCCAGCAAGAAGAAAACGAACTGGCAGAAGCTGTCAAGCAGGAAGACGAAGCAGGTTATCACTCCCCAGCTACTCCCCCAACAGCAGCAAGAAGGGGCGATCGGTGCAGCTTCTCCTGCTGCTGCTGATTATACGACTGCTGCAACTGCTGCTGGTGCTGCTGGTTCAGGTGAAGAAGGTGACAGGTCAGCAGATCCAGATATCCGTGTTGAGGATCTGCAAGAGCTAGCTGACATTCTCAACTCTCTCTTGCAAACTCAGGTCACCAGCACCACAGATGCTACCAGAACTTCCCCTAGGGCCACTCCTGTTGCTCCTTCCAGTGCTGCTTCCGCCACTGCTCCTTCTGTTTCTCCACCTGCCCCTGATGCTGCTTCTGCTGCCACGGCCGCTGCGGCTCATTTGGTTGAACCCAAACCCTTGGGAGGGTCAGGACCTGGTGTGGTCCCAACAGGTGTTGCTCCTTCTGCTACTCCTGAGTTAGCTCGCAGAGTTGAGTATAGAGGGTTTCGGGACACCACAGCAGCAAGGTCTCTGAGGATAGCACGTGCGCTTTCATTCGATGCATCCTCACATGCAGCTGTAGCACTCTCTGTGGCACCATCACATACAGTTGTAGCACCCACTTTAGCACCTTCAGCAGGAGCCCAGCGGGGGAAAAGGCTCAAGGGACAGCATGGGGGAAATAAATGGTACCAGGACCAGCAACGCCAGCAGCAGCAAAAGGGGAATCAACAGCGGCAGCAGCATCAGCATCAGCAGGAGAAGCAGGAGAAGCAGCAGCATCATCAAGAGACGCAGGAGCAGCAGCAGCAGCATCAGCAGGAGACGCAGGAGCAGGAGCAGCAGCAGCATCATCAGGAGACGCAGGAGCAGCAGCAGCAGCATGCTGCTGCTGAATACCACCAGCATCAAACACTTCAACAGCAGAGACTCAGTCCTGATCTTCCATGGCAGAGAAGCGTTTCTTGTCCCGTTGTCTCTCTACCACTTCGGGCTCCCAGTGAAGGCACCAACCAGTATGAATCGCCCTTCCGCGCCTCCCACAGCCTAGAGTATCACCGATCCCAGTCGATGCATGAGGAGGTGGAGGGACAGGGAGGGCAAGGTAGACTGTATAAAGGTTATTTTAGCGACCTGCTACATACAAGTGTGTGGGAGATCAGAGAAACGGAGGTGGCTGGAGAAGAGGTGGAAGGAGAGAGGATGGGACAATGGGGTGGCTTGGAGGGGATGATCCGTAGCAGCAGCTGGGGCGCAGGAGAACAAGGTTTGGGGATGGATCATGGAGAAGTCAGCTTGACAGCAGGTGTGGGAGTTGGAGCAGCAGGAGTAGCAGCAGCAGGGGTAACAGCAGCTGGTGCAGGAATGGCAGTGACAGCAGAGGGAGATGCAGCAGCAGGGATAGAACCAACCGGTGCAGTGGTGGCGACAGTAGGGTTGGGATTTGCAGCAGCCGGGGCAGCTATGAGAGTAAGAGAAGGAGGAGTGGAAGGAGGAGAAGGAGGAGATGATATGATGACGTCGGTACATGGGATGGAACTAGAGGAGCTGGAGGCACTTCTACTAGATGCGGATGAGGATGACAACATGGAAATCAGCAGCAGCATGGTCAGCGGGTTCAGCCACCAATCTGGTAGCAGCATAGACTGCCGCGCCGTGCTCCCTCTCAACAACGATCAAAACAACATCAACGGTCATCATAGCACCACCTATCTGACGCGTGCTGGCGACACAACTGCAGGTGAACAAGTGGAATTATTCACACGACCAGCACCATCCGTACCACTGGGACCAGCATTGGAACAGAGATTTTCCGTGATCACGCCAATGCGTAATGGGTCTGGAGTCTCAATAGCATCAGAGGAGGGGACTGCTGCGGCCATGGCTGCGTATCCCACTACCAATACCACTGGTGGCAGTGATGGCATGTGGTCCAAGGGGCATGAGACTCTGCTGCTACCAGAACCATTCTTCCCAGCACGAGCAGTGGTAGGGACAGGAGGCCGGGCACAGACGGGTGGAGCAGCAGAAGAATCTGGAGGATTAGCAGCAGCAGGGGCAGCAGCAGCAGGGGCAGCTGCAACAGGGGCAGAAGCACCAGGGGCAGCAGTATCAGGGGCAGCAGCAGCAGGTGCGGCAGCAGCAGCAGCGGCAGCAGAAGCAGCAGCAGCAGCAGCAGCAGCAGCAAAAGCCGCGGCACCAGCGGCAGAATCAGGAGTAGCAGCAGCCACAGAAGGTGCAGAGGCAGTCACTGCAGGCAGGATTGTCAGTGTAGCAAGGAAGACACCAATGGCGAATCATGGATTGGGCAGCAGCCAGGGCCTTGGAAGGATGCTCTCTCCCAAAAGGAGTCGTGAAGATGACTGCTGAGACTTGCTCCAAGCAGCTGTTTTATGGGCGGGTACGTTCCCTGGGGCTAGTTGAGTTGGTTGTTGAAATCTGTAAATAACCGCCTTGTCTCAAAAGGAGCCGTGACGAGGACTGATGAGTCTTGCTGCAAGCAGCTGTTCCATGAGCGGATGCATTCCCTGGAATTGTGACAGCTGGCTCAGATCTAACGGCAAGGGGAGTCGATATGTGACAAGGTGGGTACTATACTTCGATTCCAGAAAAGTGTGGTCAAATACCTCCCTCCTTCCGTTAAGCGGCCGGATACATTACATAGGATTAGCTGAATACGGATGTGTGTAATGAAATGTGTGTGTATTTTTTTATTTTTATTTCTATTTTTCCTTTTTTTAAGTGGGTCTTGATTGCCATGACATTTACATTGCAACTTCTGATTTACTCGTTCTGAGTTGACATAAAGAGAGAGATTTTGGAATTTAGGTACAGCAAGAGCAAGAAGTAGGGATGGGAGAAGTTGTGTTAGTGGACTCAAGAGCCATATTGAACCAAGCCAAAAAATGTGCCTTCGAAGGTGGGGTGGGGTGGGTGCTGCTGAAGCCTGGGATGGAGTTGGCAAATAATGGATAAATATAGAGGAATAAATGCAATGTTCCAAATAAGGGGCCGTTCGTATGTTTTTTTTTAGATTTTTCCATACGACCTAAAACAATATAGCAAATCGTGACGCAATGTGCCTGCATGTTATGATTGGGGTGGCTGTCTGACCAAGAAAGCAATGCGTATTTATGGGATGAGTGGTAACAAAGAAAATGCAATTGGCAATATACTGTGCATATCAAAGCAGTGACTTCATAGCCAAGCAAACATGCCGCACTATAGCATTTGGAATTCAGAATCTAGATGCACACACGATTGGAGTCAAAGGCGGCTTGACAACACTGCAAGGCGACAATCTGCCAGCATTGCACCAAGGCGGCTTGCCAACGCTGCAGCAGGGCGGCCTAGCAGCATTGCACCTGCAGGTGACTATACGAGCATGTGCGCACACGCATGTCAACGATCGGGCACGTCGTGCACCGTCTCGTGCATCACGCAGATGCCAAGTCGTCTACGTGCCGGCAGTTGCGCCTGATGCACCACGTCGACCTTGGGATACCAGGCCACAGGTCGACTTCACCAATGCCTCCATAACAAAGTTTGTGCACCCCGCAGTACTTCGTCGCCCTAGTTACTTGGTTGACCAGTGAAGCCCCAAAGTTGGCGCCCACCTGGTAGTCGGTCAACGCCTGCAGGTCGACAAACTCCCCTGTCGACCACCTAGGCCGAAGCCGTCTGCCGACTTCACCTTGTCGGCGACTTTGCAATGGTCCCATCGAAGAGGTCGACGTCCTATGTCGACTTCCTTCCCAAACTCGACGTCGACCACTGTAGGCTGCCGGCTGAACACCCGACTGTGAGGTCGGCTTCGCCCAAGCAAGGGCGGGACCATTTCTCGTCAACACTCTCATGCACAGCACATGCTTGGGCACCCACACACGAGGTCCACCCAGAACCCAAGGGGTATAGTACAAGGAGGAAGTCGTCGGCGTGCATACTACACACGGGATACCGTTCACCGCACCAGTTATGCTGAAAGGCATGGCGCCTACTGCTGCACCTCGTTGTGGCCGTCGCCAACGTCGGGCAGACGCACTTGACCGATCGCAACAGAGCACCTGTTGAATGCCGGAAAGTGCAGCGCTTGGAAGTCAGCCGATTGCTCGGTGGTCGGGATGTATTGCAGCGCAACCTTCTTGCGCTTCACCATCTGCTGCAACCAGACGTAGCGTCGCTGCGTGTGCTTGAGGTTGCCCTTCCGGCCCACGCCCTCGACGACCGCGATAGCCGTCTCTTTGTCCGTGTTCAGGATAGTCGGCGTCCCAGAGTCGAGCAGCTAGAACTTGGCGAGGAGGAAGCGAAGGCGGCGAGCCTCCTTGCGGGCTTCGGTGGCCGCGATGTACTCCGACTCCGTCGATGACAGAGTCACGCATTTGATGCACTGGCTCGTCCAGGAGACGGCGGCCCCACCGAAGACGAAGACATCGCCGTTTGTGCTGCTGTGCGTCTGCTTGTCACCGACGTCATCGGCGTCCGCTTAGCCAACC